GTTCTCGAGACCGAAGCCCCCAAAAACAGATCCCTTAACCGCGCTATCGCTGGACCCCTACCCTCCCCTGTGGCTCAACATCAACCCCCTAAACCCCAAACATCCCCCAAACCCTAAGCCGAAATATGGTATGGTATGTTCTCGAAGCCTACCCTAATGCTCCTGGACCCTCGTAGTGAGATCCCAAACCTTAGCCCCCAAAGCCGAAACCCTCCCCAAAGCCCAAGATCCTCTGTGGAGCCTTAAGGTAAAGCCCCTAAATCCTAACAAAACCCAAAACCCTTCTGACACCATGCATATGGGGTTTTGATACTATGGTCTTTAAGCCCAGAGCCCCTTAAAGTGGAATCCTCAGAGCCTGCGGGTGATGGCAGGCCCATATAAAACAAGGATCGGAAGTATAGGGGCGGGGGGGAAGGGGGGATTTGGCTCGCGGCTTTAGAGCCTTAACTCTAGGGATGTAAGGCTCAGGGATGAGGGTGTAGGACTTCGGATTTACAGTTGAGGCTCAAGCTTGAACATCTTGCTTAAGGTTCGAGTCTGGAGTTTAGGGTTGCTGGTTTTGAAGCTGTTCAGGGCTTCGACTTTTTTGTTTCTGACTCAGGGCTTCGCTCGAGGGTTTTGAAGGTCCAGGGCTTTAGAGCTTGAGCGTTCAGGTTGAGGGTTAAAACATATGGTCTTAGGCAGTCATGCAACAACTTGTTACTACCCATAGGCCCCAAAGTAGTTCCTTTTTGGGATTACCTTATAGGATTCTTAATATGAACCCCCAAAAGGAACTACGTTGGGGCCTTAGGGTACAAGGGTTCTAGAAGAGGTTTGGAATTTGGATTTGTGACATCACCAGCAGCCCACGGATGTAGGCAAACTTGAACATCTCCAAGACCCGGAGAGCCCAATACCCCTTGATTAAGGAATATGGCCTTAATTATATAGGGCTTCATATTATGATTTAAGCTATATTCCTTAACTAAGGCGTATTGGGCTCGCTGGGGAGGAAGCTACACAAGATACAGTTCGTGCAGGTCCAAGGGGATGTCGTGCTCATCAGCCCAAGGGAGCACGTCGAGGAAACGTCATGTACCCAAAGAGCCCAATACCCCTTGATTAAGGAATATGGCTTGAATTTTTAGGGCTTCATCATATTATGATTTAAGCTATATTCCTTAACTAAGGGGTATCCGGCTCTCTGGGTAAGCGGCGGTTGCTACACCGTGCGACACGCAGGTCTCCCAGAGTTCGGCCTTCGGGGAGAGGCTGCGGCAGGAGCTGTTTTTGCCGCCGCATTCGCTGCGTGGCTCACACCCGATGTCACTTCGTACAGGTCATGATGTTTTTCTATGAAAATATCGGGGATTCGCAAGTCTTGGGGCCAGGGCCTGCTCCAAGAGGTCGTCAGCAAGAGCATCCAGCAAAGAAGACAGCGTCAGGAGGCTGAAGCGGACATGGCTTTCGCGGTGCGCCGTGGCTCACGATGATGTGGGACATGAGATTTGCTATAGAGGCGGTCCAGTTTGGCATTTGTCAGCCTTAAGACTTCGGGTGTAGGGAGAGGTGAAGCAGGACCCTAGCATGTCTCAAGCCCTAAATCCTAATTAGAACTTTGTACATTTCTTGTTAAACCCTTCAAAATGAATTAAAGCCCGAAACCCTGAAGAGGGAAGCAAGTTGCCACGACTCACCAGAGGTTCCGTCCCCGCTCACCCCTTGACCAACCGAAAGCTTCTCTCCTGAAGCCCTCGCCATTTCTGCAACCGCGGCTTTTGTTGAACCCTGCTCCCTCAACCCTAAACCCTAAACCCTTACAAAGTCTACAACTACTTTTGACGATATAAATCCTGCATTACCTTAATGACCCTAAACTATGGGAATTATGGTATATTCCTTATTATAGGTAATGCAGGACTTATATCATCAACAATAGGGCTGCAGTTTCAGAAGCCCCTGGACACGGAGGGAAGGAAGAGCGGGTAGACTCCCGAAACACAAACACCCCGGAGACGTCGGCCGAAGCCCGAATCTGGACCCTGAACCCTAAGCCTGAACTTTACCCGAAACCGTAGGAATCCAACGACTCATATATTAAGGCTTTTGGGCCCAAGACCATACTATATAAGGCTGTTGGGTCATTTTGATGTCCAGGGTAAACATCACTAAACCAACTCTAAGCGACCCAACCTGGCAATCCAAGCACGATAATTATAACCTGAACCCTCAACCACACGAAGCCCAACACCCCTCCCTGAGTATCGGTCCCGATGCGGGGGGATAGTAGCCCATCCTTACAGGTCCACGGAGCACAAGCCAGAGACTGTAACATGGACATTGAGCCGAACCCGAAACCCTTTACTCAGAGAATGGTGGGCTTCAGCATTTGGGCTTTGATTCTTGGTGGGCTTCAGGGAATGTTGGGCTTTGACTTCGATTCGATTCGAGGCTGCGCAATGCCGAGGAACTAAGTAGCAATTGCCCGTACCCGAACAGGCCCCTGTATTGAAGTTGCTGCACTACCCGAAAGATCCGCCTGTCCTTCGGAGAATGGAGCTCCATCAATACCCGAACGTCCCGGTTTAGGTTTTAGGACACAACCCTGAACCTAAAGCCGTTGTGGACTATGTGTCTTCCGATAGACACATTTTCGCTTGTAGCCTTGAGCCTCAGAGCCCGAAACCCACTTTTAAACCGGAAGCCCTAAACTAAACCTGAAACCCCAAGCAACAACAACCCGTTGTCCAACTCAACTTGCTGGATCTTGAATGGTTAAGGTTCGAAGAGACTCCCAATGACCGTTATGAAGTGGGTTTAGGGGCCAAGGTTTAGGGCTGTCAACGGAAATCCGTAACGCATCGAATGTTGCCGTCTCCCAAGAGTCCAGCGCTTGCTCACCGGTTGACATTTCCAAGTCTCTCAGAAAACCTAAACCCTAAACCTCAAAACCTAAACCGCGAAGCCTGAACCCTAAACCTCAAAACCTGAACTGTAAATCCGAAATCCTAAATCTCAAAACACAAAAGCCCGAGCCCTAAACGACAAAACCTCAACCCCGAACCCTAGACCCCAAACGAACCCAAATCATGCAAAGGTGTCTCATTGCAGACGCGAGTCGGATAGCCGCTGTAGCCGGGTGGGTAGCCGGGAGGCGGATAACCGGGGTACGCACCCGGAGGAGGATAATAGCCTCGGTTTTTTTGAAGGTTTAGAATAATCATGACCTGAACCCCGAACCTTAAACCCGAAATCCCAACCCTACTATAGTGATTTAGGGAATGCAGGGCTTGCTCAAGCTGCTCTCAGCTCTATACAAAAAGCCCCAATCTCTCAACCTCGAAGCTTTTGCCCCAAACCCCATACCCTAAAGCCGTCTAGGCTTTAAGGTTAACGGTAAACCCTAACCCCCATGCCTATAAGCATTATAAAGCTTATACTCCTCGCCATGGCCTCAGTCCCTGGGTCCCTTCAGAGTCAGATATTGAAGCCCCCAAGCCTTTCAAGGTAGTATAACCCTATCCCTCCCTCCAAGGACCTCATAGTTAAGGGCCTAGACCCCTTAAGGACCCCATAATAAGGTCCCTGGGGGCATAGGGTAATGCTTTCGATATGGGGACTACTATACGGGCAAGGCTTAGAGACTTTGGGATTGAGGGCTCCCGTCTTACTGGCTTTCTTTGAGAAATGTTTGGAGGTCAGTGCTTCAGGCCTCCATGGTTGCGGGGCTTTCGCCAAAGCGTTACAGGCGAGCTGGAGGCTTTTCGCTTATTCTGGACCGGTGCAAGCTTAGGGTTTAGGGTTTAGGATGTCTCTTATTGCACAGAGGCTTTTCACGCTTTTGTCTAGGAGTTTGCTTGGCAAGTTTATTTTGGAGTGGGCCGCGAACCTGCAACAGTGGTCGAATGCCTTGTACCGACTGGACATCCTCGTTTGCGAACTGGCCACCTGGTGGGTAGTAGCCCATTGGTGGTGGCGCGGCGCCCATCTGGATATTTTTCTTGTGGAAGTGCCTGCAGGGAACTGCTTGCAGAAAAATATCCCTTGCCGACGCTATGTCACGGGGACTGAAATACACAAACCGTGTAGCTCCACACACTAAACGTTTGAAGCCAGATCCCTTAAGCCCTAAGCCGTTAAACCCTGCACATGCTTCTCATCTACAAGCTCCGGAGTCCAATATCACGGATTCTAGGATGATTTCGAACTTGTATACCTATGTATTTGCTATGGGCTGTTGCTGTATTGTACTTGCTATTGCTTATAGGCTTCTGGTGTATTGTATGTATTCAAGGCTTTTGCTGTATCATTATTCGTTCAACGATGTCCTTTGTGGCCTCTTGGCAAATGCTCGGCGAATCTTGCTCTGGCAGGTAGGGGAATGCTCTGTGGGAAGCTGCCCCCGCCCCAAGAAGCTTGATAGGTCATGCTGCGCCCAACCACAAACCCTCAACCCCCAAAACCCTAAAGCCTAAACCTTAAACCCTCAACCCTACACCCTAAACCCTGTAAACCCTAACCCTAAACATTAAACCTTAACCCACAAACCCAAACTCTAAACCCTAAACCCGCAACTTCGGAAGCAAAGGTCGGTTTGGTAAGATACCGTGTTGGAGCCCTGTCTCGTCGCAGGAAGCATTATAGGTCACATCCTGCACCCTCACCTCATTCTTGGGGTGACTCCCGCTATGATAAGCATGGATCGGATCAACCCTCTATGATAAGCATGGAGAGCATCAAAACGCTATGATCCCACGGTGTAGGATACTTCCCGTAGTGCAGGCGTTTTCGGTAGCGCCGTGACCTCTCAAACTGCCTCAGCTCGGGCCCCCGAACACAAGATGCTCCGAGCGCACTGATTTCTCTGCGCACTGCGAGGTAACAAAGAATTTCCCAGAGATTCCAAAAACCCTTAATTCAGGAATATAACTAAAACTATAGCCGCCGCTTCACTGTGATTTATGGATATTCCAGAATTACAGAAGGGGTTTTGGAGTCTCTGGGTTCCGCAGTCTTCACTCTGGCTGCGGCTTCCGAGCCCAAACCAAGTACCAGTTGCCTCAGGTGTTGTTCCTAGTTGCTCCTCGGGTTCGGGGTTCACAGTTTGGAGCTTGAGGGCTCGGGGCTGTTCCTGGGCCTCAGGCATTAGGGTTTTGAGTAAACGGTTCAGCGTTTTGGGTCTTTTCTGCGACAGCTGTCAATGCAGCGAAAGGCGACAGAAGCTGATTGACAGGTAGATGCGCGCTTGCAGACTAAACTAAACCTCCTGAGCCCTCCCTGGACTCCGCAAAACCTACCATTTCAAGGACTATAAGACTATTACAAAGAAGACATAGTGAGGAATCCGAAAAAGGAAGGTTATTTAGGGTCCAGGTAGACCCTAAGCGGCACCCTTTTCTGTAAGGGCCAGATGTTGGGATCCCCAGCTTCTAATAGAGGGGGTCGTTTCTATTCATCGGGCGCTCTACAGGTCCATGTACCAAACTGGTACTGGGGGTTCAGGGTTTAGGGTATTCTATGGCCTTCAAGAGGACCGTGTTTAGTCTAAGTCGATAAGATAATGTAAACATGTTTGGACCCTGCGGCTCTGCAACGAGGGTTCGTGAGCGGACAGCCAATACAGCTCAACAATCGCCGAATGACGGGAACTGATAAGCTAGAACAGGGGTTTGAGAGAGATTGTAGGAACCCCATAAAGGAGTATCAAGGGCACCTGCTTAGGTCCCTACACTCCAAATCTGCCAACAAGCTGCCCATCCCACGTGTCTGGATCTCCTTCACCTAGCAAAGCTGCAACAGCGCCAATTGCACATGCAGGAGTGCAGGAACTATCACTCGGCCTGTGGGTATAACACCTAGCCATGCATCACATCAGACTCTCCCAGAATGCTCACCACGGACTGTAGTCCGTGATCCTTGGGCCGTAAAACAAAACTAAAACACTACTAGAATAAAGGAGCTCCGGATTCGGAAAGAATCTATCCTGAGTTCTGCTTGCACAGACCCTTAAAATCCCGCGACGCAAACTCACTCAAGCAAGCACTTTATAAATCGCTAAGCGACTCTAACTGACTCCGAAACAATAGCCCCTGCATGCACACACACACGAACCACTAGGCACTCAAACCTTCAATTTGTCACCCTGCCCTCCAACAACACACATTCCTGAGCCCAAGCCCTACCTTTAAATTTAGGTACCCGAGTGAGCCCAATACCCCTTAATTAAGGAATATGGCTTAAATTATATAGGGCTTGTTTACCATGTTTTTTGCCACATTCCTTAATTAAGGGGTATTTTGCTCTCTGGGTAGCCCAAAATCCCAAACCCGCCTCCAAGTCGGTGCGGCTTCGCATCAAAGCATTCACATCCGTGTCATCGCGATATCCAAACCTTTGCGCACTTTCTACGGGATTCCGAGGGTTCGTTCAGGGTGCTAAAATAGGGGCCTTAGTAGTTAGAACAGGTTTTGGGGTATATTCTATGGTAATAATACGGAACCTTCAAAATAGTACAGGTAATTAATTACTCAGGCCGCTATATTAGGGCTTCGGGTTTCGGTCTCTGTGGCTCCAGGGCTCAGGGCGTTTTGTGCCTTCGAGCCGGTGCTGGAGTCCTGTGCTACCCGCCTTACTATAGTTCAGGGACGATTACGGTGATTAGAGTTTTCAGAACTGAGTTGAACAAATACCTAAAGCTAAACCTAAACAAGCCAGTGCTATGGCAGGTTTGGGGTCCCAGAGAACCTTCAGACGAGATGCCTTACAAAGCTATGAAAACCCTGGAACTTGCAATTTAAACCCTGTACGCCAAACAAGACTTGCAGAACACACCCTTGAGCCGGAACTTCCCCTTCTTGCTGGATGACCGGTAACCCCAGAAATCACAACTGCACTGATTCAACATGCTCTGCAAGGTCTAAGAGTCTAAGCACACCTTGGTGCTAACTCGAAACTTACAGCCCTAAGACTTCAAAAAGCTCAAAGTAGGCACTATGTACAGTGGTTCTTGTATACTTGGAGGGATACCCAAGACTTGAGAGGAGAGCCGTCATCACCTGAAAATTCAGACTGAAAGTGAAGAGTAGGATTAACAAATACAAGACATTATAAGGGGCACCAGAACTCAAATATCGATAGTACCCTCTATTCCTTATTTCGGTGCTGCAAGGGACTCCCATTCGTGCGTGGGGCTCGGAACCAATGCTAGCTGCTCCTGCGCCCATCGGACCTCTGTGCTGTAGGGCACTGTAGGGCTTACTTAGGCTGTAGGGCGCCTTTTTTGGGGCGGAGGTGTTCAGGTAGGGTACGGTTTAATAAGGCCCAGAGAGTTTCAGTTGCTCAGGCTTTGAAATTACATTCCACGACGTTAACCCACCTCTTTTGGCTATGAACGTCAGGGTTCAAGGTCTTCGGTCTGAATTGAGGCGAGTTTCGGGCCAACTAACCGGTAGTAGCCCACTACTTCAGGCCATGGGGACTCTTTTGAAGGTATCTCTTTGAGCTTCTGAATGATGCAAGGGCTTTAGCATCCAGGTGTGGGGGTTAAGAAGTTTGGGGTTCAGGCACTGCACCGTTCCCCCCGCAAAGATCCGAGAGTGCCCCTAAGAAGCTGCATTAAGAGGGGTTTGAGGTTTACGATTTGCAGTTCTCTGGTGTGTTGGGCATAAGGGTTTTAATGCTTACGACTTTATCGTGAAGCTTACGGTCACTTGCAGGCTGAGGGCACTCATCACGCAACTGCAACTTGACTCTTCCCCCTTGTCAGGCTACTGAAAATGGTTCAGCCTAAACCTGTGAGTAAGGACGGCTCTTGTGGATATTCAAACTTGGCCCAAGCTTCGATGGCTCTGTTAGCCACCCCAGGCTCCAGCAGCAAAATTTGTCCTTGAGGTGAGCGCTTCCGGTTTAGGGTTTATATAGGCGGTACTTTAAGAGCTCTGCTTACAGCCTGGAGCTGGACAAGAGCTCTCAGGCTCTCTCCGGGATAATACGTACCTGATGGACTTGGCGTCTGGAGTTCGGATGCTGGAACAGCTGCTCTGGTGATGTAGGCCTTGCGAATCGGATCCCAAAACAGAACCCCCCACGGCTAAGCACGGAATCATGAAGCCTGCAACAGCGACCCTGAGTATGTATCATACATCCTCGGCTGAAGCCTTGTATGCTATCCTAGCCCCCTCGAACCTGAACCTCGGGCCCTAAGACACAGCCCTTCAGCCCGAGACCCGAAACCCTGAGCCTCTACAGCCTCGAAACCCTAAACTCGAAACCAACCTAACCTCGAAACCCGGCCAAACTCGACACCCTTACACCCCCATGAAGTCCCTATAGAAGCCTTCCTACAAAGTCCCCTCATCACAAAATTGGGAGACTCGGGGATGCGGCGTGCGGGCACTTTTCCTTACATTTGGCCGACATCCGAACAGTCGCAGCCATCAGGGCCCAGGCGGTGCTCAGCCAAATCCCTGAACCCTAAACCCTAACCCCTAAACCCCTAAACCCTAAACCCCTAAACCCTAACCCCTAAAAACAGCTTGGAGAGCTCACCAAGTACTTTCGAATCCCCGAAGTCTTACAAGACCCTCGGGCTCCAATCACCTAAAGTCTGACAAGGCTCCGCCCGGGCGACAGACTCGGACGATTTCATCCAGCGCAACGGCCGGACGCTCCATGGCCTCGTAAGGAAGTGTAGCTGCGTACATTTAGCATGAAGAAACGGCTTTCTCGACAAAACTGGCACCCATCTGAAAATCCTGCATCGAAACTCTCAGTCTAATCTTTAGCCTTTAGGGTGCTTAAAGTCTTGACTCGTAGCTAGTTTGCGACTGTAGCGTAGGGTTTCGGATGGCTTAGGGATGAGATTTGAACATACTGAACATCATAACGCAAAGGCATCGAAGGATATTCCAGAAGTCGCTTCCTAAGGGTAACCATGCAACGAAGCATGCGTACTTTAGGGCCTCGGGGAGCCTGCCCATGAAAGGGATTCCCAAAGGATCCTGAGCACGAGGAAAGCGCAACTTAGGGGCTGAGTACCCTGTGGCATTATAGTAGGATTAGATCAAACCCTGAAAGGTTAAAGGCTACCTACTCAGCTACTAAACCCTAAACCCCATGCAATACAAAGGGCAGGAGTCGTGGCCGGGGCAATTTCGAGCCTGAGCATGAGAGCCCCTGCCTGCCAAGTCTTCAGGGCTCTAAAGTGCTCAAAACCCCCGAAGCAGCAAATGGGACCGGACTCCCAGCACGGCTGAATGGGACCGAATCTCACTAGCAGTCGAGCGGCACAAAGGCACAAAGAGCCGAAAACTGCATCAAACGAGTTGTCCTGAGATTCGAAATACGCTTCGGGGTTTTCAGAGTTGCGATTCGGTCAACGAACATGTGTATATATGTATATACATAGAAACACACGACATGCACATACGTACATACATGCCTACATGCGCACATATCGCTAACAGTCTACGCAGACCAACACTGCAATCGAAGCACAGCGACTAGCACTTTTTGTCAACTTCTTGTCTCGCAACCTCATGTCTTTATAGCAGCTGGAAACAAGAATCGCAAACATGCTACACAGGATAAGCGTGCGTCAGAATCTATTGACAAGCCTGAAATGAATAAGACTGATACTTTGCTTCCCTGCCGTTCATGACGACCGCCTTACATATGATACTAACCTGGCGGCATTCGAAGAGAAGTATTCGCAGTCTTAAGCCCCCCATTCCTATAAGCCCTCGAAGCACGACTATAGCTGAAAAAGACAAAATCACAGGAACATGATAGTATTGATGCACTGAATAACTCCGTAAGATGATATAGGTGCCTTAATCTATCTAAGTCTGGACCAGAGCTTTAGGGTATGCTTATAGTCACCGTGCAATCAAAGAAAGACTGTGGGGGGATGCTATCACTCAGGATTCGGACCTTCATCTCCGCGTGCCAGGAACAACAACACTCACCTCGGAACTGCAACCCGTCATCCCAACCTCTCCGCAGTCTCGGTCTGACTCCTTAAACTGAAACTTTCACCCTAAGCACCGTAGACCCTGCAAGCCCTAAGCTCTCCACCCCAAGCCCTAAACTTCTTAAGACCTACATCCTCAACCCTACACCCACCACCCTGAAACCTTCTCCCTAAAGACCCCAATAGCGGGGCCTGAATGACTAAAACAGTTTCCGGCGTAGACAGCAGTGTCATAAACGCAAGGTTTTAATTAGTATTGGTAATTACGTTGCACCGTAAACCCTTAACCCTAAAACCCTAAAGCCCTAAACCCGAGAGACCCTGAACACGTTTGATCCCCAGACCAAAACCCCAAACCCTAACCCTAAGGCTCAAGATAGCCCAAAAACCTTGTGTAGTATGGCCTTTGGGCCTAAAAGCCGTAATATATGAGGCCTTAGAGCCTTAGGGTAACATGAGCCCTAAACCAAAACTAGAATCACCCTGAACCCAGCCGCCGAGAAGGGCAGCTTATGGCCATCGGCCCGCAGCACGCGAGCTTCGTATGGCCGGTCCGACAACTTCTCCTAAGCTCAGGGTTTAGGTTTTTCTGCGGTTGAGGGTTTCAGGGGCTTTAGGTTTGAACTTGTTTTCGGCGCAAGGTCTTACAGAGGTCGTCAGATTTTGAAAACGGAGCGAAAGGTATGAAGGAAACAGAAGAGAATTGTGTTATCAGTTCTTCTGGCCCCTGTCTTTTTCATGAGTTTGGGCTCAAGCACCACGCTTTCCATTTGAGGTCTTCAGGCTTGAGGTTTGGGGTTCAGGGTTGAAGGCTTGTAGGGTGTAGCGTTTATTGGGTTCAGCGTTCAGGGCTAGGGTTTGGAGATTAGGCGACTTTCGTCCTTCCGATTCCGGGTTTGTGCTCATGTAGGGGGGGTTAGGATCAAGGTAAGGGTTTAGGGTTTGGGGTTTAGGTAAGTTTCAGGGCTTTGCCGCACCTCTTCACTATGGAGACTGGAAGCTACCTTCCCTCACTGTGAGCCGTGTACACCCTTCGCCATACACAAAGCTTGAGGGTTCAAGATATCCAGTTTGGTACCAAGAGGGTCCATACATACTCCTACTGTGGAATTCGGGGGAGTGGTAGTGCATTATGAACCCTCTGCAGTACACTGTTACTAGGCATTCTGGCGACCTCTATCTTATATAGAATCCATCGACTGCTGGAAACCTGAGTCTTGCACCAAACTCCACAATCGACCTCCCCAAGAACGGTCACCCAACATGCAACACCGTCCAGCCCTTCCACAGAGTCCATCAAACCCTAGAGCCCTAGACCCCTAAATCCAGGAAGCCCAAACCCCCAAACCCTGTACCCTTGCAGCATTGACCGGCTACCGTATAGTGAACTAAACCCACAGGCCATAAAACCCCTCCGATTTTGATTTGAAACAACCAGGGAACAAAGTATAAACTTGTATTTCAGAAAGGCTCCTTTAAGGAACAGATCAACACAAGTACTGCAGTATGGCACTCCAGAACCCTAAACCCTAATCCCCTAAACCCTGCACCCTAAACCCTACTCCCTAAACCTTGCTCCCTAAACCCTAAACCCCTAAACCCTAAACCCCTAAACCCTACTCCAGAACCCTACTCCCTAAACCCTGCTCCCTAAACCCTAAACCCCTAAACCCTACTCCAGAACCCTAAACCCTAAAACCCCTAAACCCTAAACCAGAACCCCCAGTAATACGATCCAGGGAGCTCGGGCCACCGAAAGCATGGCCTCATTGAGGTCAACGCCCACGTAGCCTCGGACCTCCTTGGACCTGAGCTTACCCAACCCTAAGGCTCCAAAGAGGATCTTGGGGTTTAGGGTTTAGGGTTTAGGGTTCAGGGTTTAGGGGTTTAGGGTTTAGGGAGCAAGGTTTAGGGAGTAGGGTTTAGGGTTTAGGGGGGCTTACCCTATAAGGCTCCAAAGAGGGTCTTGGGCCTTGTGGGCGAGGGTTTGGGCTTTGGGGGCTAAGGTTCGGGATCTCACTACGAGGGTCCAGGAGCATTAGGGAATGCTCAAAATAGCACCAAAAGCCTTATGTAGTATGGTCTTTGGGCCTAAAAGCCTTAAGATATGAGTCCTTAGAGCCTGAAGGTTTAGGGGTTTAGCGGCTTGGGAGTTTGGAGGATACGGGGTTTAGGGGATCAGGGGTTTATAGGGTTTCACAGGATAAGGGGTTTAGGGGATCAGTGGTGCAGCGCTTCATTGAGACTTGATTGTACCGGGCTCTTGAAATCCACTTACTAAGCCCCTGATCCTTCCAAGCGCACCTAAACTCTCCTAAACGCAATACAAAGCCCTACTCAAAACCTCTATACAAACTCTGGGAGCTCCTTTGTATTAACCTTTATCAACTCATTAAAAAAAACCCTAAAACGTGGCGAACCGAAAACAAAAACACACATAAGATCCTTCAAGCACAGATCAGGCTGAGGCTCTGCTCCAGCGCTTCGAAGCAGCGGCCGGTGCCCACTGCAACTTCCAGCACCTGGCTTGCAGGGCGTAGGGTTCAAGGGTTTTAGTGTTTAAGGGCTTTAGGGCTATAGGATTTAGGGGTTAGAGGGTTTAGGGTTTAATTTGAGGGCTTAAATTCAGGGTTTAGGGTTTGGGATCCACCCTTAGGCTCCTTGTCTAAATAGTATACGCCTATATGGGTACTTTAAGGCACAAGTATCTACCATACGGGTACGTGGACCCTTTGGGCCAGGGTTCCGACGTGAGGCCAAAAGGGGGTTAAGGGGGCTGTTGGCTTACTAGACCCAAGAGAAACCTAGGAACAAAAAGGGTGCCCCTTTTGGCTTAATTAATGGGGCTGTAACCGGGACCCTAAAAAAGGAATAAGGGCCTATTCTAGGTCCTAGCTTAGGATCTCTAGGAGTTAAGCCTCGTTACAGGGTTGCACTCAGGGAATTTGCGTTTGATGTCTTCAGCTCTGTCCTCTGTCTTGGATGTTGTTGTGAGCCTGCTGCAAATCGAGCTCCATAAGCCCTCGATTTCGTTACTGGACAGGGTACCAACATGGCTCCAATGCGGACAACGAACAGTCCAGGCCATTACAAGTCCTACGTGTGGCTGCAATAACCGATTGTTCTAGGGGTTAAGATATATATCCGAACAAACAAAGGGTTATAATGTGGGCCTTAGGGCTGCACTCAAAGTCCTTTGGAAATGTGCCTCACCCTTCAGCGAGTTCGGCCGCAGAAGCTCCAGCCGGAACTTGTTGGCGATTCCCTCCGGCGAATATCGATGGTTTAGTGCTCATGCCAAACCCTGATTCTTATGGCCTGTGCATCTTTGCGAACCCTACACATCTCAAACTCCAGACCGTATTATACCTCAATATTTAATACATACCCTGATTTCAAGACGACCGCACAGACAAGCAGGTTTTAGTAGGCTATAAGGCACGCAGTCTACGACTCAGCCTAGGGCTTTGGCGCTGAGGGGATTCCCTTCAGCCCCTACTATGCAGGTCTAGGGTTTCGGGTTTAGAGATGCTCAGAGTTTATAAGGCTTCGGGATTAGAGTTTAGGGCTTTGGGGTCTAGAGGTGTCAGGAGTTTACATTGTGTTCAGGGTTTTGGGTTATGGGGTAGAGGCGCCTTCGTCAGTCTCAGCGGGCTCTTTACGGATCTTGTTGCCTTGGCTTTATATGCATGTGGTTGGACTGGGGGGGTGTAGTCGTCAGGCGTAGTCGTCAGGCGTAGTCTTGCTTTCTTACTCCTAAACCCAAAGCCTGGTTAGACCAGCACCATATTCTTGTAGAATCTCTATGCCGAAAATCTGAACTCTGAAGTAGGTGTGTGTATTTGGGTCCGAGCGCAAACGCCTGATGCCCTAAAGCCTGAAGTAAAGTTTAGAGTATAAGGGCCCCAACACTGTTTATGAATATAGGTAACTCGAAAAGACGGAAATATACGGAGATCAGGAGTATCCCAAACTGCGACTTAGCTACAGTCAGAAACCAACATCCCGCACGCCAAGCCGCAAAACCGGCAAAGCCAAAACAGCAAAACTAGTAAACCCCTAGCCTAAGCCCTAATCCTTGATTGGGTAAGAGTCGGAAAATGCTGGAGGGCCTTCTCCAGAGGTTGCACTCCCTCGTCGTAGCTTGGCGCCATCCAAGTGTAAACCTTTGTTGGGGCGCAGCAGCCCTCGAAGGTTTGCTTCGCGTCTTGAGGTCTGTGAGGAGGTCGCATGGGGCTACGGGTTGCAGGATCACCCAACCATAAAACCCTCAAACCTGAATACTCAATGCCAAAACCATGCAGGAACCCGAATTATGCCATGCACTCTCAATCGGAGGGCATGAGGTGGCCCACACAGTCAGCAGATGCGGAGTACAGGTATCGGATCTCTGGGAGATCGCCGAGTTCCGGCATGGATGCACCCTGCCCCTGCCACCCTACCCTAGTGGACGCATGAGACGTGCATGTCAACCCTGTCACAAGGCATATTATGAAAGAGCAGCTAAGAACAGCATGCCGTTATATAGATAATTAGATTAGAGCCCCCCTCTCGTGACACTGAAAAGGATCTTCATTCCAAAATGCCAGAGCCCTCATTATCCCATTATGGGAGGCGTAAGCTTCAGACGAAGTCCTGCATGCAGGGGGCATCCATGCGCTGCGATTCTGTCGGTCGGCCGTACTTCTGGATGAAACGGTTCGCACGCTCCTGAGGTCTTCTTTTTCGGGGTGCCAGTCTCATGCGTCCAAGCCCGGCAATTGGAGGCTTGGGGTATCCGGGTAGGGGCTTGGGCTTTTTGAAATCTTCCCAGGGTTTCAAAATTCAATCTGATTTACTCCCGGTTCTGTCGGTTTCTGTGCCCTCCCTCTCCATTTCTCTCGACCTACCTTCCTGAGCCGAACGAGAAATAGGATCAGAGCATAGCCTTCAAGCTGTCGGAAGGGTATAGGCTTTAGCTTCTTGGGGCATTGGGGCTCGAAGAGCTACCCAAAGCCGTAGCCTTCAGTCAAGCCCTCATCGAGTCGCGGCCCCAGGCGTCGGCTGCAGATATAGGACACCGCCAAGAATCCAACAGGTTTCTTCGTTGTCTTTTGGAGCTATATACCAGAAATATCAAAGGCCCCACTTTGTCTTTCATGTTGGCTTTGGCACATAAGACTTCACCAGACTGCCGAAGAACCCCAACAAGCAGCTGCATATGCCGCAGGCAGAAGACATGCAATTGCTGACAATACTTTTTCGATTCCCCATATAATTACTGTATAATTGACCACCCACACCCTTCTAGACAGTCCGATGTGTATGCTTCCTAACATCCTGAAAATGGGCTGATGCCGATCCTGAGTACCCCTGCACGAAGTATTTGGCATGGGTCTTGAAGCATCAAGTATCACAAAGCCCTAACCCAAAGGGCCCAAAGGACCCAAAATCAGGTACTTGGGTTTGGGATAGTAGTTATGTAGGTTACTGCTTTTGAGAGTATATGATAATTGGGTACTTGGACCCTTAGGGTAAGCTGAAGCAGTGTTGAAACCCTGAACCCCAAACTCTTGAGACTACTGTTTAGTGGATGCACTTTAAAGTTATGTAGACAGGTAGCTAGTAAATACGGCAACCGATCATAATAGGGCTGCGCAAATAAGGGCTATCAATTTAAAGAACGGTGGAGCATTATTCAGGGGTCTACATTGCTGCATCAGGGTTCAGGGTTGAGGGTATCCTGCGAGAAAGCCTTGTTGGACTCCCAAGGGTCCTCCTCCTTGGCGAAAAACCAATGGTATGTCCTCGACATACCCCATAAGGTGATGCCCTGAACAGCGCCGACGGTCGCCACTGCACCGGCTGCATGATACCATCTGTAGCCCTGTCGTGTCCCGACAGTTTTGAAGTTCAGCAGTTCAGGAGTTTAGGGTTTAGTGGTTGATGGGGTTATCTTAACTGAACTGCCATCAACTGCCATGCCCCCGGAGAGTGCAAATCTCATACTTCAATTTCAGGGCTGTGGGTTAAAGAGTTCAAGCTCTACATCGCTCATTGCAGGGCTTTGTTGCGATTTCAGACCCTACAGGGTTTTCACATTTACGAGCTTGCACCGTGAAGGAGCTATGGATCTGAACTAAGTCGTGACACATCGGATTGGTCATTCTAGGACCGTTATTACCCCGAGGGTTTAATGATTGGCTGCAGCAGGCCGTCTGCTGGACTGTGTAGAAAAAATGTCTCTGAGCGACGCTGGATTCAGCAGAATTGCAAGCGACAAGACCCGTCCAGTGATGGCATGACAGCAGGGACCGCAGTATGGACTAGACTACATCGTATTCCCAGCCATGTTCGCCACGCACACACACGCAAGCTTCCTAAGCTACGTTGTGCTGAATGGTGAGCGAACTCGGATGTTAGATCGGGCTTACTGTAACCAACGCTGCGTCAGCTCCATGTACGGTTGGTGTAAGGCTTACTGCTGCGAGCAGTGACATTCAACGACAGATATAGCTCTGGCAGCGAAGGCACCCCATACAGTAGCTTCAGCTGCCAATTACATACATGGGCAGAGATCATGTGCAAAGCTCCTCATGAATATGTCTATAATAGTCGCATAAAGATACAATCGCATTACTAGAAGACTGTTATGATGTTGCTGTATTGTTGCTGTAATTTGAGCCTGGTCAAAATCCCTGTAGTACAACAAAACAGGAAAACACAGGACATGGAGTCCAAACATCTATTTCCAGAGCGACGAGATACACCGAAACCCACAGTTTCCGAAACGCTTACAAGTCTAACCCCTAAGTTGTGCTCTGTCCCTATGCCCTAGCCACTCAGGACTGTATGAAGGTTTAAAGAAATTTGATCAAAGAAGCTGAACAGGTTTCAACACAAAGAAGCAAGAAGGGCTTAAAGCCATTCGATCGACCTTCTGCCCTAAACCCTAAACCTTGTAAAACCTAAACCCTAAACCTGATAAACCCTAAACCTTCTAAACCCGAAACCATAGACCTAGATCTTACAAACCCTAAACCTCCCTTCCCACCTTTACGGCTTCGGCGAAGAGCTTCCGAGCTGCCATGGCGGCAGCTCTCGGTAGCTGTGGGCTTGGCCAAAACAGAAGGAGCCTAGGGTTTTGGGTTTAGGGAGCTGATAAGGACTATACGTTCGAATGCTAGTAGAGAGTCCGATCGCAGGGCTGGGGTTTGGGATTTCGCAGTGTCGGGTTTCGGCTTTAATGAAAGCGTCCAGCACCCCAAAGCGTTCCTGTATGTTTCTGCTGTTAGTCCTCTGGCTGTCCGAATCCTTACGGATTCTGGGTCGTCTAAGGCTCGTCTGCGACCGGCTGGTTGGGAGAGCAACCTTCTTCAGTCGCGAGACTCGGGTCAAGTTGCAACACTCTCGACAGACCCGTGGGTTTCTGCAACACCCCTTTCCTAAGGTTTGGCAGTGTCTGTGGGGCTGGATACTGTGTGGTGTCAGCGCGACTTGAGCACATGTTTGGCTGCACACATACGAGGTGGTTTGTGGTGCTTCTCGATGCTATACCCGAATCCTACAGTCTGAATTGTAGTTCCTTCTGTTTGCCTTGCTTTCGGTAATGAAGGGGCGCAACCATAAACTCGTCACGGCAACATCCTAGGAAGCAGACTGTGCTAGTTCACTACACTTCACGGAAACCGAAGGGAGAGACCATTGAGTTTCGACATCCTTAGTTTGGGCCTCGGGTTGAGGGCGGAATGGTGAGGGGGAGGGGGGAGAGGGGAAGGGGGTTTGGGGGACAGAATTTATCGGGTTTTGTAAGATTTCGTGTATATCCCTCGATTATTGGCTGACTGCAAAAAACTCTCCTCGCTCGCCAAAGGCAGATCGGTTCTGAAGGCCTGGCTGCGAGTATTTCACTACATCCTACCAGGATATACATCGAAAACCTTTCGAGAAGTATACAACATCTTATACTACGTCGGCCTTTCAACTTACTCAAAACCCGAGACTTGGTGAGTGCAAGGGTGCACAGGCCTGGTCACAGCTCGTGACAGCAGGTCGCTCTTCTCATCCTGCCATCAGACCCTATCTCTGACACCGGGTCCAAAGTAGGGGAGAGTTACATGATTGGTGTTTGGCTGTCAGACAGTAATGAGTACACCAATATCTGTAGGTTAGCACTGACCATGGCCGAATTCCTGCAGAAATTTTGGTGGTCCCAATACCCAAACTGCCACACAACCACCCAAATCAACTAAGCTGGCAGGTATGTGCTTTCATCAACCCAGCTACCCAAAAGCCATCTTACTGGAGCCATCTTCCTACGGGGCGAGAGAATACGAGCACCTGCATGATGAGGTCCTAGGACACAAGGGGGTTCTGACTAGAGCCCCGGATTTAAGAGGATCGCGAGGCTTCGTAAGTAGGGCTTTGAAGTAAGATAGCTACATGATAAAATATCTACCCATGGTCCAAACTCAGGTGCTTATCAACCTTTTTACGAAATCCCTCGGCTTTGGACCTCGAAGCAAGTCATCATCCCATTATGCTTTTCATTGCCGGGGAGTCCTCAGCTGGACGGCGCGAATCGGTGGCCTCTCTACTGCAGAATGCGGGGCTTGCAGCTATAGGCTTTTCTTGCCAATCTCTTCCGGGCTGTACGTTGTTCTAGGTTATATACCTGTAGGTTGTTCTTACCGGGCTTTCTTCTTGATATTCTCGGGCACTGGGGCCTAAGAAGTGGGACTGCTGCTTTTTCCTATACACGCCTTCCACACATACAAGTATCTCGTTGTGTGGCTGATGTATACATGGGATGGCAGTGCCATGTTCGGAGGAACCACGTTATGGGCCCTAATCCGCACGGCTTGGATCCTAATCCCAAAACCAGAAAAATCGCTAAGCCCCTAAACCCTGCACGCAAAATGCACGAAGCCCTAACCACTATAAACAGCATAAAGCCCAAGTCCGACAGTCTTCATCATGGATGGTAAACTCATAAAAGAGCCCAAACACCTCTTCATCCCAAGGCCCCAAAGCCTGACCCTACATCCGAAGCGTCAAATATCCTATTCAACTACCCGAACTACCCTTCACACTAGGCCGTGAAACTCGCTCTTAAAACAGAAGGGCGAAACCCTAAGCGCCAAAGACCCAAACCTTTAGCCCGAAGCCCGAAACACCCTACACCTAATGAAGGCCTAAACTCTGTGCAAAACCCTAACCGTTTGAACAGCAACCCGAGGCTTCCACTAAGAATCAGCCTCAGCCCTAAACCCTTCACGAAGTCGAAGATGTCCGCCAAGGTATATCTTAGCAGGTCGCAGTTGAGCTTCTGATACTTCAACTTTCCTGGAACGCCGTCACTTGTGATTCTGTGCAGTGGTCTCGGAGGCAAACAACGCCGGGCTGCACAGCCGGCTTTCGCCTTCTTGAACTCTGCCAACCAGGACATCAAGTGGTACTGGGCAACTGGGGTCGTCTCAAGCATGTCGCAGATGAAGGCAGCAAGCTCTGCGGAGAGCCAGAAAGCCAGCAAAAGAAGGATAGTCCGGCGCAGCGCGTCTTCCACTCCATGGAAGAGTTCAATGATGCTTGCCCATGGCCTGTGATTGCATCATATCTCTTGAATACCGAATGGATGTGGGTACCCTTGCATGCATCTTGAAATCGAAAAGCGCGTTTTGCGTACTGCACACGTGGGTTTGCCAGGTTGAAAGTGGACACGCGTTCTGGGCAACAAGGCAAGATGCAAATGTGGGCCAGGAGGAGAATGGCGAAGTCGGCCGGGAGACATGAGGTCCCATTGCAGCAACAGGAGCATGACTTTGAGAACTTGCTCAAAGTTGCCTATCTTCAGAAGGTCGCCACGCCGCACCGCTTCTTGAAGATGACTCTGAAGAAATCTAATCGCTTAACCCCTAAACACTGGTCCCTGTACCCGATAAACCCCAATTCCTAAACCCTCATCCCTGTAATCCTTAAACCCCAAAACCTGAACCCTGATACCTAATACCTAAACAATAACACCTAAAACCTGAAACCCCAAACCCAAAACCCTTTACCCTAATCCCGAACCCGAATCCCCCAACCCTAAGCCTGAAACCTGTCGATCTACATCCTAAAGCGTCCACTTAACCTGAAACCCCTACACCCTAAAACCCTAAACTCCGATCCCTAATGAAATCCTAAACCCTGATACCCTGACATCCTGAAGTCTTTAGACTTTAGACCCTGAGCCCCAACCCTAAACCCTGACATCCTAAACTCTCCTATAACTTAAACCCTATAATCCTTACAAGCCCGAAGCCTCCCTCGATTTAATCCCTATAAACTCTAAACTCTAAACCCTAATCCCTAATCCCCTTTTAAACCCTAAGCCTCCCTCCATTTAATCCCTAAACCCTAAACCCTAATCCCTAAATCCTAAACCCCAATCCCCTTTTGAATCCTAAGCCTCTCCCAAAGGGGACTCCCTGGCCTTCTTCACCTCCAAAGGCCGCCTCCGGGGCTCGCCGCAGTGCTTTTTTTCAGGGTGTGCTATCCTACTTGAGGATCATGGGACTTAGTAACTGGGGATATTACTGGAGGAACTACACTTTTAGTTACTTCTAACCCCAATTAAGGTACTTATAACCATACTTACTGAGTCCCATGATCCTTTAAGTAGGATCCTGTGGGTTTAGGATTCACTGTAGGGCTTAGGGTTGAGGGGTTTAAGATTATCCTAAACCCAAAACCCCGAACCCTAACTCGGGTTCGGGATACTGGCTTGTCGCTTGTTTAAAGTTTGTGGCCCGGTGCTTCTGGCAGTTCCACGTAGGGTTTATTCTGGGTAGGGCCATTCGAGGGTCTTCTTGTCTACTGTGCTGTTGAACCAGCGATACGCATTACCCCGAAGCCGACAGATAGAGCCACCGCCGTCTGACACGACACGATTGCATGCGGCTTTGTAGGATTACAAAAATACTTTTAGCAAATCGGCAGAGTTGAAAAGAAACCCTCGCACTCCTAAACCTTTAACACGGGATTTGTAAGTTTCCTACGGAAAATATGCTACGGTAGTCGAAAAGCAAAACTCGAATCTTATAGCAACTATCCCGGCGCCACACTGGAGGACCTGACCTGGAGCCCTACGTGCCATAGCTGAGGTCGTACGTCGTACGGCCTCCACAACCAACCCGGGGTTCGGTGGCAAGCCCGAAATCCATGCTTATCCTCATCCCTGACCCCCGAAACATATGCCTTGAACCTTAAATTCTCCTCCCCACCCCCGATCAAGACTGGAACGGTGACATCTGAGACGCTTCACACCGGTCTGGGGGGGGGGGGGGGGGGGAGGCAGGGCATTTTCCCATCTTCTTAGATTCGTACTTGGAGATTCATGGGTAGTTATAAGTAGGGTCATAAGTAGGATAACTATAGTTAGAACCGGTTATAAGTAGGGTAACTATATTTAGAACCCATATAAGGGGACTTACAACCCCACTTATAACTACCCATGAACCTCCAAGTACTTCAGAGCCCGAGGCCCCCTGAAACACCCAAACATCCGAGATCCCAACATGCAAAACCCCCCCTTTAGAAGTCGACTACAGCAGCTCTGGCTCCAAAGCAACCTACCTAGATAACAAACCGTACATACAGAGAGGACAATAAACACAACCACCGAAAAGAGATTCTACACAGCTCAACAACATTATCATAATAATTATTGATAACCATCATAACATAATATCCAGAACCATAATGTAAAAATGTTGATAACCATAACGAATCACAAAACCAAGAAACAAGCCCAGGCCTCATGAACACCACCTTGTCTTCCTCGAGGACTCGGGATGCCCCCTCCTTCGTGGCGTAGTGGATGAATCCTGAGTCCCAGGGGGTCTAGTAAGTCTGGTAACCCTTCAGGCAATGAAATTTTAGACTTCTGGGCTTGTCGGGCTTAAGGAGTAGAAACGTCCTGTCTGAGTAGGAACTCATAAATAGTAGGATCCTTATTATAAGGACCCCCCCCCAAAAAAAAATGAGGTACCCCTAACTTTCGGAAACTCCCAAACCCTTAGATCCCTTTTAAGGTACCCCTAACTGAGA